CCGACTGAGATTCCAATCGTAGCGGAACCGACCCCATATCAAGAGTATCCCGATTGGACCCGACAAGAGTTATGACGTGGTATCAGTAACATTGGCCTAGATCCCAGACCCAGATGACTCTTTTTGGCAAGACGGTGTTGGTAAGAATAGAACGGACCCCCGATCCAACATATTCGGAATACGTTCGGATCGACTTCCCATGTGATTTCAATCGGAACCGAACAGACACCATGTCCACATGATTACCCTGTTCTTCGTCCTCATTCTTAGATAGTTGAGACACAAGGGGAAATATGGAGAGAGAGAGAGAGAGAGCGATATAGAGAGAGGGAGAAAGAGGGAGGACACAACGGTCCTTACCGCAATCAGCATGAAGCGGAAAGGGGGGTGCGCGCGATATATATATATATATATATATATATATATATATATAAGAGAACGACGGAACTATCAGAGCAGCGCGCGATATGTCGGGGGGCGGGGCGGAATTACAGCGTGTATTTGTGATGGCATTCTCAAGCTGCGGGGGGAAAGAGGGAGGGAGGGAGAGCGAGAGTGAGAGAGAGAGAGAGAGAGAAATATTCCGTTTCCGTTGTCTCTGTTGATTGGAGGGAACAGGTGTTGTGATGTTTGGAGGCAAGGAGGGGGAGAGGGAGGGATGCAAGCATACCCATCGGTCGTTGAAAATATGTGTTTGCGGATTCCCATAACCCAATCTGCCTCAAGCGCCTTCCCTTTTCAAGAATCGATATGCGTTTCGTGCGTGTTGTTACTCTCTGGGCGGGTCCGAACCCAATCTACTCTATCCGCCTTCTTACTTCATGTGTTTACCTACTTCTCCCGACCGATGGGTAATTGTAGAGAGACCGAGGGATATGGACAGACAGTGTGATTGCACGTTGTATCAGGATGGTGTGCTCTGCGCAAGGAGAGCGAGAGAGAGAGAGAGGGAGAGGGACAGAGGGAGATCTCCTTCTCATCTGGATGCGTGTGACAGACAGGGGAATCATGTGTTCCGCATGTGGGGAACGAGAGACGCCGCACACTATGCAGAGCGAGGGGGGAGAACGAGAGAGAGCGAGAGAGGGACAAAGACGACATGGCATATCCATGAGGTTTCATCTGGAGGGGGAGAAACATCGGACTGATACACACACACACACATATATATATATATATATATATATATATATGCTCGGTCCCCCCCCCAGCGACCCCCCAAAACGCCCAAAACACGAAGCCGCGGTCTTGATATGCTGGCACCGAACAGCCGCAGACACATGGTCTGTCACAGCGGGCTGTGACCCGAGAAGTATTCCTCCTCATCTTACTCTCCCTCATCCTCCCCCTCCTCTTCCATCTCCCCCCTCGCCTCCTGTTGCTCCTGTTCCTCGTCCTCCTCCTCCCTCCTCCCTCGTCCTCCACCTTCTGTTCTTCCTCCTGGTCCTATCCCTGTTGGAGAACGTTCGGAGCAGAAGGTTGACGGGGGGCAAACCGTAGCAACGAAATGTTCCAAGACTTGAATGGTTCCCTTCGTGTCCCCTGTTGTCCCCTCGTGTCCCCCTCGTGTCCCCTGTTGTTCCCTCGTGTCCCTCTCGTGTCCCCCTTGTGTCCCCTCGTGTCCCCCTCGCGTCCCCCTCGTATCCCCCTCGTGTCCCCCTTGTGTCCCCTGATGTCCCCTCGTGTCCCCCTCGTGTCCTCTGCTTTCCCCTCTTGTGCCCCTCGTGTCCCCTGCTGTCCCCTTCGTGTCCCCCTCGTGTCCCCTGCTGTCCCCTCGTGTCCCCCTCGTGTCCCCTGCTGTCCCCCTCGTGTCCCCTCGTGTCCCCCTCGTGTCCCCCTCGTGTCCCCTGCTGTCCCCTTGTGTCCCCCTCGTGTCCCCTGATGTCCCTTCGTGTCCCCTGCTGTCCCCCTCGTGTCCCCTTGTGTCCCCCTCGTGTCCCCCTCGTGTCCCCCTCGTGCCCCCTCGTGTCCCCTCGTGTTCCAATCATCAGCGCCGCCGCTTTTTGGTTTTCCCAGGTTCTGCTCAGAACCAGAACCAGAGCCAGTACCAGAACCAGAGCCAGCACCAGAACCAAAGCCAGAACCAGAACCAGAACCAGAGCCAGAACCAGAGCCAGAACCAAAACCAGAACCAGAGCCAGAACCAGAACCAGAACCAGAGCCAGAACCAGAGCCAGAACCCCCGAAGAGTACACAGTGTTTTCTTGCTCGGAGGCCACGAAACACTGTGTATCACAGGTGTTTCTGGTTTTTCT